TTCAAATATCATCCGTACTAAAATAATCAACTAAGTAGTTTATCGGAAACATTATGTTCGTCCTTCACCCAAAAAATAGAAACATTATGTTCGTCTATTTATTTTACTGCCTTCGAATATATGCATCATATATGTAAATAAAAAAAAATAAATAGAGATAATGTTTAACTTTTAAGAGCATCCCCTTCGCATCAAAACTCTTTCTAAAAGGGGGACCATGAATCAACTTTATATGTAGCCGTAGCATTCACAAACAGTACTTTTGGTCCTGTGGTCCAATCCAATTGCTAAATGGGACACCAATGGAGAATTCACAACAGAACAGCTCATTATCTTTTGCGATTTATGAAACTTGTGGATGAGAAAATTAGACATCTGAGGTGTATATATATATATATATATTCCCAAACAATTGTGTGGGTTCTTTGATTCCTAGGCAAAAACTTTCTCTTTTGTTTTTCGTTTTCAACCATAAATAAAATTGTTGGATTGTTGTTGCAGGAAATTGATGTCCTCACCCACCGTCTCACTGAACTCCCATGATACCGTAATTGGTGTTCATGTTAATCAGAGACTAGGGTTTTGCTTAGCATTTTGAGGCAGGAAGAGGCCCTCTAGGAAAGGAAACTTTTGATCCCCTTCCCCCAAATGGACCAAGCAAATCCGTTAATATTTCCTGAATTATAATTTGCAGAGTAATTGATAAAGTCCAGGTTATTTATTATTTTCTTGAGGCATCTAACGATACTTTTAAAAACCTTTCCCACTTATAAGTTATATCCCAATTCCACCCAACTGGGTTTTCAACAGTTTGGCTAGTGAATAGCCTAGATTAGCCCTTACCTACAAAACATGCCTTGTCCATTTTTCTTGACCTATTAGAATGGAATCGGCTGGTAGGGTTAGCCTGAGGACAAGTTATTTTTGCTTTTCTTAGCAAAGTTTCAGACACGTTCATGCAGCTATAGCTATCGCCTAAGTTGGCTCCATCTATGATTCTACATGTTTAGGCTAGTTTCGTCCCAATCCTTTGAATGCAGGCTCTTTCCTTAGTGGGGGGATCCTTTCTATATGCAAAGGTACCATGCTTTATGATTAAGCTCTACTCAAAAGGAGAAGGACCATGTCACGCCCACGCACTTTCATACCACACACTCACGCGTCAATAAGGTTCTTATCTCTTAAACAACATAAAGTATGTGTTAGAAATATTCTTCATACGTGTCAAACGTATTTTCATATAATCAAACCGTTTCTAATACTAATACAGTATGATCAAAATAAAAATTTGTATTTTTTGAGAACCTCTAAACTTTCTTTAATATAGGATTTTTATTACAAATTGTCCATGAGGTTTGCAAAATAAGCACATTTGATCCTTTATGTTTTTTTGTGACATGGTTGGTCCTTAAGGTTATGTTCCGTACATCAAGCTCTTGAATAAAAAAATTCAAAAAGAGAAGGATAATGTCACACCCACGCACTTTCAAACCACACAATCCTACGTCAATAAGGTTCTTATCTCTCAAACAATGTAAGTTTGTGTTATAATTATTCTTCATACGCGTCAAACATATTTTCAGATAATCAAACTGTTTCTAATACTAGTACAGTACAGTATGATCAAAATAAACAATTGTACTTTTTGAGAACCTCTGAACTACCTCTTAGAAGTATTTCGATCCTTAATGAAAGTTTTACATGCTTCTAACAGAAAAGGGCTGCTAAAACGCTCTCTCTCTCTCTCTCTCAAGTAGGCTTCTTCTTGAAGGGCAGGTGGGACAAGAGGTGTTAAATTTTGAATGATATTATTAAAGAGGTCCGTGCAAGGGAAGGTGTGAGGGAGCAGATGGGGTGTAAATTTTGTGGACATAATAACAATGCCCAAAAATGGAAATATATGGAAGCAAAGAGAGTAAGTCAGAGAGAGATAAAGCAAAAGAATTGATGGGTGTTTTAAAGAGAGAGAGAGTGGGTGGAAAGCCTAAGCGCGTCCCAGAAAGGGAAACCAAAGAAGTAGTTTGTCTCAGTGAATGATGAAAGCGATCTAACACACACACTGCACTGTGCACAGCATATGCATATATGAAAATACATAATATATTTTATATATTTATATATAATTATACACCCTTTTCACAGTCAAGTCCCAGTCTGAGTCCTTCACAGAGTCACAGTCACATTCATCAGAAATACGTATATGGTTTTGGACAGAAAACAAAAGTGAAAAGACAAACGCTACACGCACCACTCTCACCAATAATGAAACCAAATAAAGAAAACAACCCCTCCAAAACCATTTCCAACCATTCAAGCAAAGCAATCACATTTATGGAAACCCTCTTATTAAAAAAGCAAAAATTTAATTATCCCAAGGCAACCCTTGTTTGTCTTATAAATACCTTCTAGGCCAAATGTCATTTCTTTAGGTCCTTAAACTTGACTAGGGTTTTCATTTTCATCCCTATACTTACTTGATATTGTAATTTTACGTACGTTATTCTAATCACTCAACAGCCCACATAGCTTGTTAGCACGTAAATAACTCTCCGACATGTTATTATCAGATTATCAATACGATAAGTGTATTCCACATGACAAATGACATCACGTTATGTTGCAAGTTGCAAGACAACATACCCATGTATATACCCAATCTATCTCTCGTCCTCCTTCTTCATAGTTTTCTGTTTAATTTTCCTTCCTTTGGTTTGGTCCCCACATTGCTCAACAACAAGGGTTGTCTTGTACAGACCTAGTACACTCCAACACATATGCAACATAGCTGTGTTATCAATTATAGCCTCTTCCCTTTTTTTTTCTTTTTTTCTTCTGCGGTTCTTTTTTACACCATAATAATTAATGGTAAAAAGCATATGAGAGAGAGAGAGAGAGAGAGAGGAGAGAGAGAGAGAGAGTGGGATAAAATCTGTTTGTCTGAGTTATAGCAGTGCTTCGTAGATCCGATGCAAAGGAAAGGATCTTAGGCAAGGGGCTTTAAGCTACAACAGGACAATGTCGCTTTGTTCTCTTTTGGAAAATTGGAGTTTTTCCTCCATTCAATTCACACCCAAATCATATAAAGCCGCGTGGCAGCGTTAGTGGTGCTTTGGACCACTTCATGGATCACTTATGAAGAAATCTACGGCACACAAAAGTTTTGGTATTATTCTAAAATAAAAATAATAAAAATACATATTTATCTTCCTTGTTTAAAAATCAAAGTAAAATAACTAACGGGATCTAGCTAAGTACTTGCATATCAGTGGTCCTCAAGTTTGAAATCCCGTAGCACCTTATTTGTATGTGTGAGAAACTCCCTTGCTCCTTGTATCTCTTGTATTCAAAAAAATAATAAAATCAAAGTAAAACTGAAGCGTCTGTATGTATTGCTTCTAGTCTAGGTCAAAATAACAATGAGGTAAAGTGGCAGTGAAAATCAGAGGGGTACGAAGGATTCTTTGCTTCAAAACCCAAGTTTGCTGCTTTCACATGCAAGGGACAGAATCTCTGGCTCTTTTGTTAGCACTTTCAGACTTGCATTATTGCTCCTTGCCTAGCTAATTACAAGCTTAATTGGTGATTAAAATATTTAATTAATCCACATTTTCCTTGTTAAAAATGAAAGTACAATGAGCTTACAGATGTTTTCTTTGTTTTGTGCAGATTTCAAACTTCAATCAAAGATGCACAAGAATGTCGAGCCAGCTTTAGCTAAGTTTTCACCGGGAGGTATATACAATGTACCTTAACTTAGGCATGCATTTACATATATTTATATTATAATGCAGACTTCAAGAAATGGCTCAGAGAGAGAGAGAATATAATTTGTATGCGCCTCAGAAAAATCTTGGTGTGACGCGCATGATGATGAAAGCAGCTCTTGTATTTTATTCGCATCTGCCTAACTTACAATATCTAATTAATATACTATTTTTTTATTTTTTTTATTTTTTTATTTTATTAAAAATAACAAATAAATATAATAATAAAAATACGTTCTTCGTATTGTCGCATGTTCTAGGTCTAACTTGACCCCATTTTTCTAAAGTGCCTTTTGTGTTTGCCTTGTAATTAAAACAGACACGACTAAACATACGGGAATTAGGTGAGTTGTTTAAGATCAGTCGGTCACAAGTTCGAATCTCCGTCTCGGAACTGACATGACTAAATTTTAAACCTCAAGTAGAACCCTAACCCCATTGGTCTCTGTCCTTTAATTTGTTTTAATTTTTTATGTCCTTTGAAATATATGAAAGGTCCCTCTCGTCATAATAGCAGTGTCTGACTACTGCTTTTGGAGGAGAGAACTGATTCAAAGGACACCGATGATGGGGACTATTCATCACCATCGGGTGATATTTCCAAGACAATACAAAATACCTGTTTTCGTATGCCTGAATTTCTCTGTGTCTCCATCCACCCCATCTTTGAAGCTTAGATTTTCTTCCTCTTTGTTTTCTCACCTAAGTAAATGTCATGCATTGCCCTCAACCTCAACCCCACTTTTAAGACCGAAAAAGGTCGAATTATAAAAATAGAAAGATGACAACCTTTGGATCCAAAATATCATAACTTAATCTAGCAGCTGGGCGCAATAAGTCAGTAACACATGTTCTAGAATTACATATAAAATAATAAAACAACGATTAAAATTAAAATTAAATCAGATATGTATTGTTGTCAGAACTCAGAATATCTAGTTGAAGATGGATTTTTTCCATTTGTTAGTTTGACCAAGGACCATACATTTCCCACAAAACAGGAGACTTTCCTTCCTTTCTCTTTTGTTTTTTCTTTCTCTTCCTCTTCTTGACTAGTTTCTCTTTTTGGGACTCTGAAAAAAATTGGAGTTGGGGATCAAATCAAAAGGCTTACAAACACAAACATATCAAGGGGACTTTTGGTAATTAATATGATGAAATGGGACATGGTGGAAATTAGGCAGAAAAATGTAGGAGGGGGGGCTCATGGCTCATTGGTCAAGAGAGGAGCTATAGCTAGCGTCTCGTGAGAGAGTGGAAGCCACTTTTCTGCAGCCAGCAATTTTGCGCGGACGGTCTGATTTGAGGTGGGAATCCTGATGATGCTGCAGCAGTTGCAAATATATCGGAAGTCGGCATGCCGGATTGCCATTGTTGTTGGTGTGGGTGGTCACTCATCGAGAGTGAAAGATCACTGCCGATGCGGCCTCCTTCGCTGCTGCTTGGAAACTGAACCTGTGACAAAAGGAAAATAATCACAATAATTTTAAGCAAATTGATCATCAACGTAGCAAATCATGAGTCGAAAATTATTTAATTGTGCTTACATGGTGGTAATTGTTTGGTGAGTTGAAATGTGGTGGGAAAGTGTGAGGCATTTGGGTGTCTCCAACGTTAGGCCTCCTACTAAACTGCCCATATTTATGCATTTCAGTGGGGGCTGGAGAATGAAGGTTGGTTCTGAGTAGTAGCTGCATGGCTTCTGTCTCTAAGTATCCATCTCTTCTGTGTGCATCACTCTCCTCTCTAGATCGATCCCTTTGTAGGTTAAGCTATTAAATGTAAGAAACAAAAATAATTAGACGGATATATGATACAAATATGTATGGATCACACGTTCAAGCAAGAATTAATGTAATTAAATAAAAATAACATTTGTTACGAAACCTTTTGTCGAAACCCTTGATTCCGCCAATCGGCTTCGAGTTGCATTGAGGCAGAATGTTGAACTTCCATTGCAGCATTTTGGCCATGATCACTACTCCCAAAAGCTTGATTGTTTTTCTTCGAGTTTGAATTGCCCAAACTCAAATCGAGATTGTGTTCTGCAGGATTAACGCCGGATGATTCTACGCAAATACATATATCCAAATCATCAGATTAATTACAATGCATTAATAATGTTATTACAATTTGAATTACCAGAGGAGGGGTTCAGCTCGTTCTCGTAGATGCTGGGATCAAAATTAGTGACAGCTTCCTTGCCATTGCACTTGATTGCTGCTTTGTCATAGGCCCTACAAGAATTGAAGTAGCATAAAATTAACCCCAAAAAAAAACTCAAATCTTCAGGAACTGAACTCAACATTACAAGATATATATATATTTATATATAGAGAGAGCAGATCCGTAGCACGATATCATGTATATATATGTACCTTGCAGCATCAATCTCGGTATCAAACAAGCCCAAATACACGTACCTATGAAAATCATTGAGCAATTCATGAAGCAAGGAAGTAGTACAAGAAAACTGGTGAAATGAGAATTGAAGGGCAAAGCTAGAGAGAGAGAGAGAGAGAGAGAGAGAGAGAGGTTGATTACTTTTTGCCTAAAAATTGGCCCATCCTGGCCTCCCATCTCCCACACTTGTGCAAGGTGACCCCTCTATATTTGGAGCTACCTCTGGGGAACCCGGTGCTTTGTCGGCGAAGTACATGCACAAATTCTTCCTTTGTTAAATTGGTCATCTGTGTTTCATTTCATGCAAACATCCCAAGAAAATTATAACAAACCAAAACTCAGAAATAAAATAAAAAATTTTAAAAAGAAATTTATTTATTTATTTTCTGCAACTGTTGAAGATAAGGCATTAAAAAAAAAAACTGTTGAAGATAAGTTCAAAGCCCTTTCTCTTTTTTTGGGGGACCGTACACTCTCTCTCACCTGTTTCAAGTCTTCTTCATAATCCTCTATGCTAAAATTTATGTCAGCCTCCACTCCCCGGAACTTGATGGCCGCTCGATCATAAGCACTGCATAACACAAAATAAATTCTCATCTTTTTTCCAGCCCCCACATTTTCTCCCACAAAATTAAACCTTGGTTTTTCAAGATGAAGAGCTCACCGTGCAGCTGCATGTGCTGTGTCAAATCCACCTATTAATCGTATTATGGAGAAAGGAAAAAAAAGTCCCATCAGTAAACACACCATAAAATAAAATTAAAATTGCAAGCCAAAGCACAAGGGCATCATTTTTGTCAGTCTTACCAAGATAAACTTGCTTCCCACAATCCCTGTGTCGAAGTACAAAATAAATTAAACATAGAAATATATATATATATATATATATTGTTTGAAACATAGGAACAGTAACTGAAAAAATTAGTTACTAATTATGTGAAGTGAAATTAACTAACTAATAACTGACCAAATATGAGACTCCCATCGACCAGTCCTCCGGTAAAACGTCACGCCGCGGTACTGAGAGCTCCTGGAGCGAGGCCCACGCCGGCTCTTCTTCATGGGCTGGTGGGCTGCCTCCACCGCGGCCGGCGGCTTCCCGGGGCTGCCAGAATCCGACTGCCCGAAATTGACCCCGACCCAGTGGGCCCTGGGAAACGACGACAACGACGAAGAAGGAGGAGCTGGAGGCGGGACGCCTCCTCGTGTGGGCCCCATTATTTCAGAGGTGGAGTCTAGCTCCACCGGAAAGAACTGTCGGGTCACGGTCACGGGCGGATCACTATCCATGGACTCCTCGTGGGTCATGGAGAACCCGAATATCTTGCCCCCTCCTCCTCCCCGCGTCTTGGCGAGCTTGGCGGGGCCGTCGTCGTCTTCTTCCTCGTCTGATCCGTCGTCCCCGACGACCACGGCCGAGGAGCTTGAATTGGACACGGATCCGACCCGTTTGCCCTTTTCCTCGTCTCCGTCGGCCGAGGTCTTCTGGGAGGAGCAGTCCTCCGATTCATCGCCACGTGGACGCTGATCAGGCGAGTCATTGAGATCCCACATTTTTTTTCTCTCTCTGTCCCTTTGTTGGGTTTGTCTACCAGATGTTTGCTCAGTGTTCAGTATTATTTTTTACATCAAACCCAGAATTCAGAGTGGCAAACAAAAAAAAAGGCCTCAACAAGAAACACGAAAAGGAAAAGTTAAAGAGAGAAAAGAGAGAGGTGGGTAATGTTGCAGGTTTTGTGTCTTTGCAAAAAGGCAAGAGTAGGAGGAGGGTTAATAGAGAGACAGAGAGAGAGAGAGCTATGGAGCTATGAAGCTATGGAGCTATGGACTCCAAGATCTTGTGCTTGTATATGGCGCCTAAAACTGCCCAATACAGCATAGACGAGGCCAGTTTCAGTAAAGCCTTAGCCTCAAGCTTTCTCACCCCACCCTTAATACCCCTCTCTCTCTCTCTCTCTCCATCTCTAACCACTTGCTTCCTTTTCCTTTCAATGACTCATAATTCTCTCTCTCTCTCTCTCTCTCTCTCTTTACTTTTTATTTTGTGCAATCACTCAATTTTATAAAATTTTGTAGTATGCATTTTTGGCATCTATATTAAATAAAGATTAAACTTGAAGTTTTTGGGCTTTAAACTTGTTGTGTACAGTTCTACTTTACTGTTGTCTCTCTTTCTCTTTCTCTTTTTTTTTTTTTTTTCTTTTTTTTTTTTTTTTTTTTTTTTTCTTTTTTTTTGGTTTTTGGGGTGGGTTCAAAGGAGCAAAGGATCAGATGGGGTAATGGGGAGAGAAAAGAAAGAACCATCTCTTTCTTACACAACTTTCCCACGTTAACCAAATCGAAAAGCATTCTGCTCTCTCTCTCTCTCTCTCTCTCTCTCTCTTCTATTTACCCACTAATGGAAGTAGACAGCCCAAACACTAAAATAGATGGCTAATTACTCCATTGCCTTTATTAGCAACTTAATTATTTCAACGTTCACATCACAAGTCAACAAAATAAATAATTAATTAATAAAAAAAACTATTTGATTTCACTTTTTTTCACATATTCAGGTATCTTGTGTTTCACCTGGTTTTTAGTTTTTACCATAAGGAAGAAGGGCAGTAAATAGTGGGTGGATAACCGGGGCATTTTGGGAAAGAAAAAAAGGGTGTAATTATCAAATCAGGGACCTCTCTCTCTCAGTCTCAGAGAGAGAGAGGTGGTGAGTGGTGACTGGGTTGTTATTACTGGGTTTGGTTTGGTATCAGAAAAAGGAAATGGGAATAATGGTAGGAAAAGGAAGGTCTTTCCAAAAAAGTCCAATCCAAGAGTACGGGAAGAGGGCCACCTTTGCCTCTTTCGTTCTTCTAGCGACCAATGCCCCTTCCTATTTGCTGTACCTCGTATTGTTGTGGCCCTTCTCTCCTCACTCTCTTCCTTTCCCGCGTCTCCTACACTTCTACTTCTCTTCTTCCTTTCTTTTCTCTTTCAACTTCATCTTTCCCCTTGTTAATGCTTAAACAATTTTTCACAAATGACAAGATTACTTCTTCTTCATTCAAACTATATTCCTTTTCACACCATTTGTGGTCCTTCCTTCACTTGAATAGTTTAGTTCGACTATGTTAATGGGGTGTTACAAGTATTCAAGAATTGTAACATGTGTAGGATTAGTAGTCCCGCAATTTGGAATTTCTGGTTTAAGTAAATAATACGTGCATTACAATTTAAGAGAATTTATAAGTTTACATATGCCCTATGAAAATATAGTCACAAGTCAAAACTAGATTTTATGGGAATTGACTTTTTTTAAACATCAAGTGTCGACATTATCGTCATTATACTTTAAGAATTTGTTATCGAGATTGTTATATGGTCAATCTAGTTCAGTAGTATAATCCAACACAAAATAATTAAACTATCAAAACTTGTAATAAAATAACCGAAACCATACTTTAGGCCAAATTACAAATTTAGTAACTCTAGTTTGTTAGGGTTTCTATTTTTGTTCTTATAGCTTAAGAATGCATAAGCATACTCTTGTAGTTCACATTAAGTTGCAATTGGAATTGATAGAAGGGTAGTGTGGTCATCCCTAAATACCTAAGTTTTCTTAACATCTTTTATGAATCCATGTTTAGGGTGGGTTGGTGCATGACTATCAGGTTTTATAGGCACATTAAATCATGAAAACACCATTTGTAAATGAAAATGAAAACCAAAAAAATTCATGACACTCAGGGGTCCTCTCAAAATGAGAGCAAAAGGAAAATAAAAATAAAATCCTAGCCTAAGGAATTATAGTTGCCGTCCCCTTTCCCCTTTTCCCATTCCTCCCCTCTCTCTTTGCTTTGTTGGTTTGGCTTAGTGTTTTTTATTAGCATATTAGAGTTTTCATATCTACTTCGGATATGTGTAGTTCTCCTCTCTTTGAATTTTGCCACAAAGGGCTGGCGTTTTGGCAAATTTGATGTCTTGGATACTTTATTTTCGGGTTTGGTGGTCGTCAACTAGTTGCGGTTGTATGTGCCCCATGTTGGTTTGCGACTATATGGAATGCAAGGATTGTAGTACTTTTCGGTTTTGAACCAATACGTGTTGAGAGAAGTCTTATATGTGCAAAGAATTATGATGTTGAATTTCAACAATCCCATTTGCTTCATCATAAGAGGCCTTTTTTGTCAGTTCGTGAACATTTGCGATGGTACCCGTTATAAGATAGTTTATAATTATAATATTTTGAGACATATGTTTTACCTATAAATTTCAACCAAGAAATATTATTTATTATTGATCAAACTTAATCTTATTACTTGTTTCATATTCAGTCAGATTTAATCAAAGTTGCTTAAGTCATTTTCTTAGGATATGTTTTCATGGTTTGGTAAATGACACAAAAAGAAAATTAATTGCGATATGTTCACAGAAAAATAAGAGTAGGAGCGTGATAAGCAGTCTATAGATGCGCGTGTGGGTCTAAGTTCTAACTTGAATGCTGGAAGCCAACTCAAAGCCTGGATAGATTGGCAGATAGATTCGTAGATTAAGAGATAACATCATGCTTGACATCATCAACACTAAACTCTCCATTTGCTTTATGTTAAACAAAGATATTTTCAATGAATAAAATAATATTTGGCATTAAAATATTCAGGAAAAATACATTTGTTTTTAGAGGAGAGAGAATAAGAACAAGCAAGATAAGCCAAGACAAATTTAAAGATAAAAAAAGGAGAGAGAGAGTGGAATAGGAAAAGATTTTACAATTCTTTAGTTTTGTGTTTTTAGTCAATATTCTAGATGTCGACTATTCTGTACAAAAAAGGTTATGAATTTTTACATATATAATTGCAAAATTTTGGCTGTCTTCTTCTAGTATAAAGATAATGAGTGCCGACAGTCTAGACACCACATTTTATAAATTTACTCACCAAAAAAAATAATATAATCATATTAATTGTCTAGACAATAAGCCCCGTTCGGTAATGTTTTAAAAGGTTGTTTTCATTTTCATAAAATAAAAATGAGGCAAAAACACGTTCGGTAACCCAAAAACGGAAAACACTGAGAATATTTTCATAAAATAAAAACAAGTTCATGTGTATTTGTAGAAAACAGAAAAAAGTTGTTTTCATTCTCATGGGAAATATTTTCATAAAAAGAACTCACATATTATTATTTCAAATTGTACTACCAGACACGTTTTTATTGTTTTTGTTTTATGAAGATGTTTTCTAATTAATCTACCAAACGCATTTTCATTTCCTGAAAATGCAAATTCGTTTTCTTGTTTTCATTCTCTGAAAATATTCTAAGAAAACATTCTCCGAAAACGTTACCAGATGGGCCCTAATGTATTCCGCCAACTAGAGTTGTAAAAAACTAGAATACCTTTGTCGCATAAAAAGTGCTTATGAGTAGATGTATAAATACAATCGGGGAATCACAAAAGGCTAGTACACCTTAACCGAATGGAAAGTGTTTAATATAGAAACAGTCTCAAACGAGTCCTAAGTACACTTGAATTCAGTCAAATCCAATATACTAACAGTTAGAAAAACTTACATTTAATTATGGTAGTTAAGTTTTTGTAGTTTTCTTCACTGAAAAAATATCTACATTTTGTTATAATTATGAGAAGGGGGTGTTGTGTCAGAGAGGGAAACAAATATTGTCTGAGAGGGTGGGGGCCCAAGAGAGAGGAGAGGTGAAAAGGGTGGTCACGTCACACAGCACCAGACAAAATTCCCAACAAGCCCCGACCCAATCCAACTCAACCCAATAGCAATTTATATAAAATCTGCCTCTACACGTCTAATCTCTCATCTCATGAAAGAAGGATTTATTTTTCTTAAGACAACGAGTGGGAGAGCAAATGGTTGCCATTGCCAAATAAAAACCTTCTAATAATGGAAGTGGGACGAGGCTATGCTTCAAAAGAGGTTGTTTTCCCCAAGTGGAAACAGTACTACTACATTCCAAAGTGGGCCTCCACCATTCAATTATGTCTAGCCCAGGCCCACCTATCACTCTCCCTTCCATAATATATCAAAACCTCTAGGCCCACACGCTTTATGATCCTTAACCTCTTTCCTTTGTTTCAAACCTACCCTCCTCCTTCTGTCCGATCAATTTCATCCTTGTCATCCTAATACCGCCACACAATCTTAACATGTGTAAAATTCGTTAATGATGGTACAAAAGGTGGTGTTTACTGATTGAGATTCAACTGGATTACGAGATAGATTTGGATCGTATCGTATTGGATTATATCGGATTGGAGATGATAACACTAATACAGTGATATATTTGATAACTACACATGACATAATTATGAGACTGAATTAACAGCGTTGTTACAGCCGTAGATAAAAATTTCCATTTTTGTCCGAGCCCTTTTTCTTTTTTCTTTTTTCGGTACTCGTTGGATCGTCCAACATTTTTGCTTTTGGATTGCCAAGGTCTAATCACAACTTTAATTTTGCGAAATTGGGTGGTTGGCATATGTTGAAATGAGTCCACATGACAATTTTTCATAATTGTTTGTTGTGCATACCAAACAAAAAAAA